AAAAAAATCTTAAGAGGAAATATCGAAAAGAGATCAGACACTTATAAAGGGTTGCAAATTATAATAAATTGAATAGAGAAAGAAAACAAATGCTTAGAACGAAACCAGAAACATGAAAAAAGACAAATTGAATATGAGAAAGAAGAAATTAAGAAAAAGGATGAAATAAATTAATTACTCGTAAAAAACAAAAACGAAGACACATATGAAAGGCAGATGCCTTGCGTATATGCCCTTGAAGCGTTTAATATGACTTCGTCCACCGCATTTGCATATATGTGGGTTCACAGTCCAAATGCGACATCTGAACGCCTACAGATCCCACCATCTTTCGTCATTGTCCACGTAATTCTTCTGAAATGGCGTCAGAAAGGGCGCTGAAATATTGAATTGATTGAATTGATTGAAATAAGGAACCTCAGCTCCTTATCATTATCAACGTTGTGCCATTGTCATTTTGTACAAGGGCTCGGCCTAATAAAATAAAATTTAGTCTTTTCGAATTCTTCTTCTGAAGTCAACAAGATAGCTGTTCTCTTTCTCCATTGTACTGCAGAGCAAGATATAAAAATAGTCAACGAAAAAAAACAACTATTCTAATGTAGTGTGAGCTGCCAAAGGTCATGAAAAGCTTAGTATTACGTAGAAATGCTTCAAAGTGCAGCAGCTCGATGTGACATCGATTCCAAAGTTGGTCAAAGGACCTCTGAAAATATGCTAAGAAATTACTTGCTCAAACTGCTATAACATAACATTTCAGTTGACGACGCTGCAAAATAAAATGTAAATGTAGCTTATCTTGATAATTATCACTCAAAAAGATACAAGTACTTTACCAAAATGCCCTAACTTATAATTGTCTATGAGACTTTAGTCATTTCTTGCTTTTCTATGTATTTATGTGTAAAAGTGGGTTTGTGTACGTACTCATGATAGAATATATATATGTGAGTGTGTGTGTGTACATATATACAGGGTGTAACAGTAAAATTTTATAAATCGTGTAACAGCATAGTTGTCCATCCACAAAATGTTTAATATCTAAAAAAATTAACAACAAAAACTAATTGAGTTTCTTTTTTCCAAGTTTTCAGATAAAACGTTTAGCCATCTTGACACCGTTTGACAATCCTTTGAGTTATTCAGCTA